TTGGAAGCACCCGATCAGATAGGAGGTCTTCCGTAAGGGACACCCTCCTACGTAGGGCCATAAAACTGAGGGCGTTTTGGCAGAAAGGCACAACACATAACCGGCCATTTGCAACCCGATGTTGTATTTTCACGGTGGTCCAACTCTGATTGGCAAATAGCGCGATGGGGTTACCGTCCCAGCCACCGTGAAACGATACTTCAGCAAAGGACGTAGTACCGCTTGCAAGAATAGTTGCACTACGGGTTTGCATTTTCATCGGCTCTTACAACATTCACATACAAAAATCAAGTGCTATGGGTTGCAAAAATCCCGCCACTCTCACAATCAAAGACATCACAAACCCACAAGCAAGCTAGATGTAGTCAAAACGATACAAGTCGATTCTTTTCGAGTTTATGGCGTTTGAAGCAGATCACCCCTTTAACACCGACACTGTCTTCTGTAAGAGCACACTATTGGAGATCACCCCGGACGATGTGTGCCGCTGGATGAATTTGCGTGCGTTTGGGGAAGAGACTCCTGCGAAGGACGTCAAACCAGTGAATGCCAGGGCATCTACCTTAGAATACGCTAAGAAGGCCCTTTCATCATTCATGCCACGACACACCGTACCATGGGACCCCATCGCAACGAAGGCAACCCAACCCGCTCTGAGCTGGTAAATCTAAAGAAGGTGAAACGCAGCAAAGTTCGCCGAGAAGGAGTGCAGTCCGCAGCGAGACGTCCGGTCGAAAATGAAGAATTTATCAGCCTACTTAAATTATCTCGGTCAAAAAATGACAAGGGCACGCTAAAATATTTGGTTTCGGCTGTGCTCCCAGTGCAATGGCATCTCATTGCACGTATCGACGACATGATGAAGTTAAAGTTTGACAGCTTTTCTTGTAATACCCAGCACTTTGGAACCCTTTTCTGCCAGTTACCTTGGTCTAAAAACATATCTGAGGAGCGAGACGCGCCGAAGCAAATTGTACTCGGCAGCATGGATCCTCATGTTTGCGTTCTACTAAATTTAGCTGTGCATGTGGAAATGACAAGTAAGTCATCATTTCATCATACGTATTCGGCAACCCCCAAGATGGTGATCGGGTCGTTCGGCGCTTTCTGCAAGAGCTCTTTGATGGGCCTGACTTCCAAAAGCTCAAACCAGGGAACTTAGGTACTCATAGTTTAAGAAAAGGTGCTGCTACGTATGGTAGCAGAAGTGGTCTACCGAAAGACTATGTTAACCGGCGCGGACGGTGCCGCACACAGAAAAGCGTAGTCGATGTGTATATCGACAACACCCAGCCGTATCCTAATGGTGTTGCTGCTGGAGCACTAGCTGGGCCACTTGGACCATGTTTTTACGTGCTTAAAGAGGGTATTCCGATTGTTACGGACAAGTTGCTGATCAACCAAGTCGGGTCCGTAATTAAGGAAGCTATGGGGGAGGAAGTTGCGAAGGTGTTGGCTCTGCCGCTGCTTTGGGAATATGTG